CGTCCAGTGAGGAGAGACAGCGACGGCGAAAGCCGGTCCGGACTGATGATAATGATAGGGCAATATTGGACCTCAAGGTGCAGAGGGACCAACTGGACATGCACAGGAGAAAGCTGAGGGTGCAGGTAGTATGAGGCGGGGATGATCGGTATGTTAAGTTGCAGCTGGTGTGGTATGGAATATGTGTTGATTCGTCTATAGGTGGGTATGGATGAGCAAGCGGCTCGGCGATGCATACGAGAGAAGAACAAGCAAGTGGCTTTGCTGGCTTTGAGGAAGAAAAAGCATCATGAGCTACTCCTAGATGAAACTGAGGGGTATCTTGTCAAGGTATCTGCGCATGCGTGCAAATAGATACGAATGAGGTCCGAATTTGTAGGTGGCGGGGCTGATAGGCTCAGTTGAGATGGCTCGGGTCCAGGCTGATGTTGTATCCGCTTTGGCATCGGGCACGAAGGCTCTTAAAGATATTCAGAAGGAGATAGGAGGTAGGGCGTAGGTCTATGGAGAAGGGAGGGGTAGGAGCTCTATAGGTGTCGAGTATGTGGACCAGTTGCTTCAAGACAATGCTGAGGCCCAAGCGGAAATGGCCGAGATCAGCTCGGCTCTCACGAGTAGGTCCTTGGCTCTCTGTATTGCCGTGTAAAGTGGTGTTGCAGATGTTGGCGTACCGGAGGATGATGCAGAGTGCTTGGCGGAGTTGGAACGCATTAATCACGAGCTGGCTGTGGATGTCTCTAGCGGCCTACCTACAGCTCCCAAGACTCCTCTGCCGGAGGTAATGTCGGGCTTAGTATTGCCGACACGCCAGAGATGAGGGGCGCAGCTCGACTGTCTTCAGGTCCCACCCGAACTACCACAAGTTACTGCACAAGAGGCTAAAGTGCCCTCCCCCCTTGCTCAGCCAGCGACTTGAGAGTAGTATCTACTCTAGTGCGTACTATCAATAGTGGGTGTTGTGTTATCGCTATGGTCTACTACTTTCCGTCAGCTTGTTCGTGAGGTGGATAGCAGAAGTCCGTGTTGTTGTGCAGTTGAGAGCCATTACTACTCACTATGGGAGTTCCTACCTTCTTCCGTTGGCTTTGTACTCGCTACCCTAAGGTCATCAAGGATGCTGTTGAGAAGGTTTGCATTGAAGTCCCTGGAGAGGGCGGCGATGGCGCGAGTGAGTTTCTCGGACTGTTACCGTTAATTGAAGTTTCACCCATTGTACGTGAGGTGGCGTGGAAAACTCGATATTCGCGGTGATATGCAGTAGTTGTGAAATATATTTTTCACTAGTGTTTTTCATATCACCGGTGAAACTTCATTGATCGTGTCTTTAGATACGTATGATGTTCCTGTTGACTTCGAAGAGCCCAATCCTAATGGGATAGAGTTCGACAATCTATATCTGGATTTGAACGGTAGGTCGAGGCTCGACCGAGGGCCTCGTTATTATGGCATTTGGAAGGTATCATTCATCCTTGCTGTCACCCGGAAGATGGTATGACTCCTGAGAATGAGGATGTCATGTTTCTTAATATCATGCGATATGTGGATCGGTAGGTCGCGAGGTGAAAGATTCATAACAGGTCCGAATGTGGCACTTCAGGCTAGTGCGCATCGTTCGTCCACGTAAGTTGCTCTATGTCGCTATTGATGGTGTTGCTCCTCGAGCTAAGATGAACCAACAAAGGGCTAGAAGGTTCAAGGCTGCCCAGGAAGCTACGGAACAGGTATGCACGTTGGCGTTCTCGCTCTTGCTCTTACTCAAGTGCTATTGCACATGCCTTGCATCAAGGCTTGTGCGTTATATGTATGGGAATAGTGGTGTCTCGTCCTCGATCTCATTGTGGTTAGCAGAAATAGTTGGACTTTTACTTTGATTCGTCAGTGTCACATTTTGATTCCTATCAGGGTTGTAGCTGTATTAATATTGATATGTTAGATGAAGGAAGAGGAGAAGCTCCGTCGGCAGATGGTGAAGGAAGGGCGAGAGCCACCTAGCAAGAAGGGAGTCCCATGGGACAGTAACGTGATCACTCCTGGTACTCCTTTCCTCGACAAGGTTGCTCACATGCTGCATTGGTAAGGTCACTCGATCATGCTCTGGTCTATGCTGTTGGTAGGTACATCAGTGATAGGATGACCAACGACCCGCTATGGCAGCTGTTGGGCTTTCGGTGTATACTCAGTGATGCTGGCTCGCCGGGAGAAGGAGAGCATAAGATTATGGACTTCATAAGGAAGCAGAGGATGATGGTAGAGGAGGCAGGAGGTGACGGCGTTGTGGTATGAGTTTTGCTGTAGGAGGGGTACAATCCTAACACGACGCACATGCTGTATGGCGCCGATGCGGATTTGATAATGCTTGGCTTGGCGACACATGAGATATCTTTCTACATCATCCGAGAGGTAAGTGTGGTATCTTGAGGTTGATGATGTAAGATTCAAAGTAGGTCGTGTTGAAGCCCGAGGAAAGGAAGTGTTATCTGTGTGGCAAGGTTGGTCATTTGCCGTCAGAGTGTACGGGAGACGACCAACAACCTGATTTGGGGGATGAATCTGAGGAGGATGAAGACATGCTCGAGATGAAGCCTTTCCAAATCATAAGGTAAGGCCACTTCCTTGTTGAGGCCATGGGCATTGGCTTTCTCTGCTTGTGTTTAGTTTGCCTGTTTTACGAGAGTACCTTGTCGAGCAGTTCACGACTGCCTTCTGTCCACCCAATCAGAAGTGCATCTTGCCGTTCCCGTTTGATGTTGAAAGGGTCATAGATGACTTTGTCTTTATGTGAGTGGCCCTTGAGCGGACATGATCCGTATCTTTGTTGTGGAACCTTGATAGGTGCTTCTTCGTTGGTAATGATTTCCTACCGCATCTGCCCTCACTCAATATCCGTGATGGATCGATCGACCAGATGATATGCCTTTACGTGGAGATCCTCCCTACCCTTACTGACTACCTTACCTGTCAAGGGGAAGTCAATCTAGTGCACGTAGTAAGCGGTTGATACCATCTTTCCGCCACTTCACACTTTATACTCCCCTCGCTAACGTCATCATTAGTGTTGTAGTAGCCTCCCTTAG